GCAAATTAAAAAAAAAATGTATGAAGTTTCAGTGAATTCTACGGAAAAGTTTGAAATTCAAAGAGAATCTAAGGGCTAATTTCATACTTTTTTTAGTGTTCTGAGAGAATGCCCAGGGTGGCAAGTGAATCAGGAAAACCTGGAAAATGTCAGGAATTTTGTTTTACCAGGAAAAACCGGGGATTTTTAAGCAAACCCAGGAAAATAATAATTTACCAGGAAAATAATAATGCATGTAGGTTTGAAATGATGACGTTACTATTTATGTGTGATGCGTGCAAAATAATATATCTGTATATTGCCAGTTCAGAGAAAAATTCGCATTTTGCGTCAGATTTGGCAACCGAAATTAACAATCGAACACTGAACCAAAATCGTTCCTTGAAGACCGAGTTGAAGACCTTGTTCGCATGACAACACATAAAATATGAAAGGAAACATTCAAAACAACAATTCAGGTGGAAGTTCGCAACATAAATTGAAGAAATCTAGAAATATTTGAATAGAAAAATAAAATAAAACTGCTTTTCAGCGCATTGGCAAAAGAAGATCCTCCAACCAACCGTCTCCACAATTATTTAGTAGATTCTAGGGTTACATGTATTCGACAATCTACCTCTCTTACCTCGAGTAAGCCACGAATATTCGGCCCAACGCCTACTAGACATAGAATTAAGTGAATTTTGTTACAAACAAAGAACAATGAACTATCGGCTCCGTAAAGCTAACGCGATTGAGCCTTCCAAATAAACGAACTAGTTAAAGGGTTACATGTGGTTCCAGTAATAATATAATATAATGATAAAATTGATAATCCAGCGGATCTGGTCGATTGCATCAAGAGGGATCGATCTGTCTTCAACCGAGGCTTCGAAGAATGATAGTTATTATCTTGGTTATATCCGGTTGTGTTTATGTTTCACAGCTGCGGATGTTGCTTCTGCTTATTTGTGAAATATCGATGCATGCTAAGATATATGTGAATCAGCAATATTCAATACACTTTAATAATCAAGCTGAAAAGCATCAGAGCTTTCGTCACTGATGTCATGACAACGCAACTTTGCTTTATGTTCTCAGGCTGTGTTTTAATTAAGAGAAGATGTTTGTCAAAATTGATTCCTGGTTTATCAGAAATAAGTCTGGTACAATAGCAGGTTGATTTGAAAATTTTCCATCTACCAAATTTAAGTGAAAATTCACCAAATGGAACACAGACTCAAGGTGTGTTCCATTTGGAAATTTTTCACTTAAATTTGACACTTCGAAAATAAATTAAGATGTTCGAAAATCCCTCTGTTATTGATCGGCCAATTTTCGAGAAAGCGTCTGTCAAAGTTGATTCCTGGTCTGTCAGAAATAAGTCTGCTGGGATAGCAGGTTTATTTGAAAATTTTCCATCTGTCAAATTTAAGTAAAAATTAACCAAATGGAACACAGCCTCAGTACAAACACGATGAAAGCTCATATATACAGGGTGCGTGACGAATTTTTGCAGTAAATGGCATATTTGAGAAAAAATACACCAGTTAGTTATTCTAGCAATGAATTTTGTGCGATTTATTTTCTTTCGCAACATATGGAAGTTGTAGGTAAATTTATTCAAAAAAATTGCCTTCCTTTCGACGACTGTAGTTAGATGCTTCCGGAAACTGCAGTATGCACGTTTTAAAATGTTTCGATCCATAGATGTCATCACTGCCTTGATTTTAGCTTTTAGCGACTTAAGTGTGGTGTGAGGGGTTCTATTGGTATCCCGTTGGACGACGCCCTATACAAAATAATCCAACGGATTGATATCGGGACTGCTTGGGGGCCAAATTTCTTCCTCCCAAATTTACGAAATATTTTCCGTAAGCCATTTCTGTGCTTTATTAGCAGTATGAGCAGGTGCTCCGTCTTATCGCTTTCCCAAGCCTTTTTTTAATATTATACACTGTTCTTTCAGACACATTTACCGACCGAATTATTTCTTTCATGCATACTCCGGCGCGCAACAAAGCGACAACGGCTGACAGATTGCTCTCTTGTTTCGACATCTTTACGTTTACTCAACATTGTTTGTTTAAATCTTACACCTAACAGTATAAGCTATCCAGTGCTGCCAAATATATCTAAATCATGATGCACAAGCATGAGAAATTACTATTTGAAATTTACTGAAAAAATTCGTCACGCACCCTGTAGATCAGTACACAATTTGGTCTTGTTGTATCCCTTTCTTTTAACACCCGAATAAAAATGATGGCAACAGATAACTACACTGAGAAAATTGTGCATATTGCGTTTATGTGCCACACACATAAATTTTTGCAATGTGATTTCACAAATGAAATTTATGTGTGAGACACATAAAGGCGTTCATTCGTTATACGATAAAATTTATGTGTGATCAGACATAGAGGTTATGGTTAGGGATTATGGATTTCAATGGAAAATGAGAGGTTATGGATTTCAATGGAAAATGTGTAGTTGATGGTTCTGTTTGTTGTGTAGTTTTGGATGTGTTCTGTGCAGATGTCGTGGAATAAAATGTGTCGATTCAGTGATTGGGGGGTCTGGGAGATTTTAATGGATTAGTGCATGCTTGTTTACACTTGACACAATAACCGACGTCGCTTCCAACTCTTCCGTACTAGTGTCGACCGGTTCTTCAAGTTCCGATAGTCCACTTTGCGAATTCTGATGGAGTTCGGGATCTTGTGATTGCTCATTGCACTTCTCCTCGACTGTCACTTCAGCAAATCCGAACACTTTATAGCCCTATGGTAGAAATAATAATTATTTACACTTCGAATCAAGGATGTTTTGTTTATATAGAGAACTTACGTTAATCTAACTCCAAGAGATTATGCTCCTGAAAATTTTCTCTGCATTCCACCGCTGATTTTCTTTGCTGACAGCCTCCTCCGGAATGTAGGTCAGCTCGTCCTTGGTAATGTTTATCATCGATGTTATCTCAAACTCTTCGCCTGAAAAAGGAAATGTATAATAACACTTTATTTTTTCTAGTTTTTTTTTCATATATATTTACCTTCGAAAACGTGCAGTAGTTCGTCGGGTAGATCCAATTCTTCTGGCACAACTTTCGCGAACTTGCTTTCGGCCTCCATTTTGCAATTCATCTTTTTCGAGGTCGGTCAGGCAGGCAGGGGTGTATCGTTTTTATGTGCGTCCTCACATATTTTTTTTTGCTATATGCCGCTACCCATGACGCTCATTTGAGCTGCACATCTTTGGTATATGTTAAGCACATGACGTTTATGTGTGGTTTATAAAATTAATGTGTGGGGCGTTTAATCGAAGTAATGTGTGAAATCACATAAATAAAATCTTTGCTGTTTTATCAGTGTACGAATGTGAACCGAAACAAACCATCCAAAATTGTCAAATTTGACATCCACGTGCACTGATCTATCACAAATCTTGCTTTCGGTGCTGGATACGTGATTTAAATTTCGTTGTTGAATGAAAACTTTTTTTTACCACTCCGAACACGATGCCTCCGGTTAAATGTGTAGCGGAAAATTGGCAATGTTTGAAAAATGATTGCTCTACAATTTAATGATAGATTTTAAATCTATTGATACCGAATAAATTTTTAAAGTATCTAGTTTCAGATGGTGCCAATAAATTTGAAATTTGTCAATAAATGGCTGAGCTATGATTTTTCAAACATTGAAAGTTTGTCGTTATACATTTTACCGAGGCTTCGGGTTCGGAGTGTTAATGACATATATAGTAAATGCCAATATCGCCAATAAGGACAAATGTACCCATTTAGTTAAACCAGAATTAAGGCTTGATCGGAGGTCAAGAAATTGACCTTAAGCCGCTTGATTACATGTCTACTACAGAGTAGACTCTAGCTAAGTAGAAAACCTTGGACTGAAACAAATACTCAGTTAATGGACATTTATCTGCCAAATTTAATTTAAATTTGTTGACATGAGCCGGATGGGCACTGATGCATTTTAAATATTTTTTTTACTATCGGGTTTGACACATGATATGCATTTTAGTTAGCGATTGTCCTTTGGTTGGTGAAAAGTCAATACAACTCAGCGAACGTTGAATATACGTAATGGAATAATTATTTACTTCTGTTTTTTCAAACCAGTTTAGTTTGCATACGAAGCATATAATTTGAAGTATTTCACATATATAATATACTTAAGACATTTCTCTCATGTAGAAGAATTAAAGGAAATCTGCAAAACTGATAGATTTAAAGCTTTGTTCAAAAACCAGGAATTTTTATAAAAGAAACCAGGAAAATCGGAAAAGAGCAGCAATTTAAAATCAGAAATTCACTTGCCACCCTGAATGCCTGGACTGGTAAATGATATTTTCAAGGGACTACCAGAGAGGATCCCAAATTAAATTTAGAAGAATTCTGAAATTAAGTCTGTGATTGGAATTGATTTTAAAGGAAATGTTTGAGAACAATCTCATAAAATCCTGATAAGTTTTGAGCGTATTTCCATAGACAAAATTTTAGTCTTCGACGCAGATCCAAATTCAAAATCAATTGCATTCGCTTTTATGCTTAATTTAAATGTATATCGCACAATCGAGAAAAACTCAACAAAACCGGGAAGTTGTCAATCGGGATTTGCTGGTCACCGTACCGTAGCTGGATCCTGCCCCAGATCATCGACGTGTACATTTTGGCATATTTAATTTCTTACGCGCCAGATTCCCTAATCAATGACTCGCAATTAATTTCAACGGTACTTACTGGTGACGGTAATAAATGTGGCAAGTAGTAAGTGACTAACTGAGTACGATAGAATCATCGTAAAATAGCACCAGTGGAAAACAGCTGCCATAGAATGGTGGTGGAAATGCGCTAATATTAGAATTGGAAGGCGGTATAATAAAAGTGGGTTGAATTTTGTCTTGCGGGAATGACTACCTACTTACTGCTAAATATGAAACATCGTCCTGCTTCATTTGGAAAATCGTAAATTGTCTAAAAACGTTTGCTTTCGTTACAGATTACTTTGCACGACAAAACACAGAAAAAACTTACCGATGTAGGGATAAAGCTCGGTAAGCAAAACACAATCCTTATTCAACCGAGAGTGGAAGACTACTCTAGTGCGGTAAGTGAAGGAAAGTTATTTTAAACGTTGGGCGCTCGAGTTCAAACCGGTTTTCTAATGTTGTTTACACAGGCTATCACAGTACAAACGGATATGTCTTCCGACGACGGCTTTGATCTGGGTGCGTCGGCGAGTCCGGTTGAGTCATCCAGCTACAATAACACTATGCCGGCACCACCACCACTTCCGGCGCCGCTATTCAGCACCGTGCCGGATAAAGCGGAAGCACATGTCATGTCTTCTCGGTTGCGACGATATACCGGGGAGAGTTCACAGTCTTCTTCCGTCAACTACCGGGGTCTGGTGAATCAGGCCATGACTTGCTATCTGAACAGTTTGCTTCAGGCACTGTTCATGACCCCGGAGTTCCGCAATGCACTATACAAATGGGAATTCGACGGCAATGGTGAAGCAAAATCAATTCCCTATCAGCTGCAGAAGTTGTTCGTGAACCTTCAGACTTCGCCAAAGTCAGCCGTGGAAACGACCGATCTGACGCGTAGTTTCGGTTGGGACTCGGCTGAGGGTTGGCAGCAGCACGACATCCAGGAGCTGTGTCGCGTAATGTTCGACGCCCTGGAGCAAAAGTTCAAAAATACCAAACAGGCGGACCTGATCAATCGCTTGTACGAGGGTAAAATGATCGACTATGTCAAGTGCTTGGAGTGTAATACGGAGAAGCAACGGGAGGATAAGTTCCTGGACATCCCGCTGCCGGTGCGGCCGTTCAACAGTACCGTGGCCTACGAAAACATCGAGGACGCTCTACGAGCTTTCGTCCATCCGGAGATCCTGAACGGAAACAACCAGTATCACTGCGAGACTTGCGACAAGAAATGCGACGCCCACAAAGGATTGAAGTTCACCAAGTTTCCGTACATTTTGACGTTGCATTTGAAGCGGTTCGACTTTGACTACCAGACGTTCCATCGTATCAAGCTGAATGACAAGTGAGTTGGAAATTGCTTGGGAGTTGATGATTTTGTGGTAAAATAACCGATTTACAATTTCAGAGTCACCTTCCCGCAGTCGCTTAATTTGAATAACTTTGTCAACGCGGTCCCTCAGTCTCAGGTGCATGACTTCAAATGCATGACGACGATTGTACCCGAGTCCACCAATGGGAACGGAGCTGCGGCGATTCAAACGGCCGAGAATTTCATGAAGACCTACGACGAGTGCAGCACGACAGACAGCGGATCGGCCCTGGAGGAGGACTCATCCTTCCAGAACGGGACGTCCGTTTCGTCGACCACAACCACGCCGAACGATCAGTTCATGACGCAGGTGAGTTCGTAAACTGCATCGGCTGTCGCTTCTTCTCAGGCAATCATCAGGAGATGTTAGGGCTAAAATACGTTTAGAAAAAACCTAGAACAAATTCTCCTCACTATCGGAATTCTTCATAGATTTATCAGAATTAATTTACCCTAAACCCGTAGCCTAAACACACAATCTCTGTGGTATTGTTTTCCTTGCAAAAAATTTAGGAAGACGACGAGGGAATTGACATGGAGCTGAACGGCGACAGTAAGTCCCCCTCGGTAAGCAACTTCAATGCACCCGGCCCGTACTTGTACGAACTTTTTGCCATCATGATCCACTCCGGCAGTGCCTCCGGTGGTCACTACTATGCCTACATCAAGGACTTCAACAGCTGCAAGTGGTACTCGTTCAACGACCAAACTGTCTCGCCGGTATGATTATCCAAAACTTGTTCGTTGATTTGTGAGTGATACTGATTCTATTTTTTTCATCTCGATAGATCACACAGGACGACATCCAGAAATCGTTCGGCGGCGGTTCCTCAAAGACGTACTACTCCGGTGCGTACAGTTCCAGCACCAACGCTTACATGCTGATGTACCGTCAGATCGATTCGTCCAAAAACATTTCGCCCATTAAGGAAGAGGAGTTCCCAGATCACATCAAGGTATGATGGCGAAAGCGTACCCTCCTGGGGAGGAACTTGGTCCTAATGCGGTTTCTCTATTATCACAGGAACTGGTAGCCAAAATCCGTGACTCGGAAGGCGGTCGCAACAGCAAGGCCGATTCCGACTCAGCGTATGTGAAGGTGTACTTTGACAACCCGAGGACTCGGGCCATCAAGCACTACAAAATGTTCCTGCTCATCGAAAACACCTTGGCGGAAACGCTGGAGGAAGCCTATCGGGTGCTGCAGGTGAAAGGCATTGTGCCGATCGAGCGTTGCCGACTAGTTGCGTACGATCGGCAGAGGGAGTGGATCGAGAAGAGCTTCGAGGGAATGGAGAATGAGAGGGTAAGGGATTTCGAAGTTTCCCGTTTATTGGAAAATTTCCACTACTTAATTTATATTTCTGTGCTCTAAAGATTGATGATACCATGAGAGAGCTTAAGAGGAGCAGTGAACTGTTGCTGGAAACACGTGAGGAACATGAAGTGTTCGAGCCGTATTTACCGGATGGTTTGATGACGAAGGTTTACCACGTGAATATGGCCACTCACGATGTCGATGGGCCGATCTCGATTCGGGTCAGCAAAAGCCAAACCGTACTGGATTTCAAGGAGATTGTGGCACGTAAGCTAATTTTGAATGCCAAGCACGTCATTTTGGCATTGAACGAATACAAGGAAGGCAGCAAAATTTTGACCAATAACGATGCTTCGCTACGTGACGAGAACATCATTGACTATTGTAAGGTGTTTGTGACTGTGAACAATCCGGAGGATCCTGAGTTTGGCTGCAAATTCAAGCAGTTTGTGGCTCGATTGGATCATCTGATTGGAATTTACTTTGTTCTACCAAATATGGATCCGGGTAAGATTGTACCTGATTGTACTTTGCGATCTCATATTTTCAATTCATGCTTTCCCTGACAGATACGTTGAAAAAGTTGTCAATCCCGCGCTTTGTTCCCAAAGTGGTGCCACAGCCGGCGACGGCAGTGGTGAATGGTAACGGAACCGACGTGCAGATGACGAGCACCGACAGCAACAGCGAGGATAGCAGTTTGAGTGACAACGACCGAACGCTGGTAGAGGACGAAGTGCACACGCAGCTGAACGGGGACATTAGCAATTTGCATTTCACCAATGGTGTCACGACCAACGGTTTCAAGGATGCTGACGATGACGATGAGGAGGAATCCTATCTGGCGGAGTGCAGAAATAACGACTACTACTTCAAGGTGGCTCCACTGGAGTACCACAATCCGAATGCCGATTCCGGCGCGGAGGAAGACAGTAGCAGTAATAGTAGTGATAGCGAGAAAGTGATTAAGGTAAGTGTGCGAGTGAGTCCAGGTTATGAGTTTCAGTAAAAATGGTAAATGATTGCAGGTTCTGATTGACAAACGCGCCAATCATGGATACCTAAAGTATAGACTGCAATCGTATTTGCATGTACCGATGGAGTATTTCAAGCTGTTCAAGAACTCAGCTGTCAGCAGTCAGCAGGAGATCACGTTGCTCAAAGAGGAGCTCAATGCCTACAAGTGAGTACTGCTTCCGATAATTGAGATAAATAGCTATTCACCGAGCATTGCTGCAGTTTTGCGTAGGTTTTCAAACGAGTAGTAGGGTATTATAGAAAACTTTCAAGAGTATCGTAACTCTGTAAAGAACCTGCGCAGTCTCCGAATCATGGTTTGCCATAACCATAAAGGAAATCACATCATAACCGTTATTCCGTAGAACTATTCGTTGAACTCTGCTTTTGTGATAAGTGCTCGAATCGAAGCAAACAATTGGAATTTGAGTTAATGAAACTTCATCCGAGCAAAAGAAAGTGATTCATTGGAATTTCATATCTCTTGTTTCGCTTCTTCACATTAACAAGAACATATCCAATGCTTCTGAGACCGATCCTCCCTCCTCTCGATTTGTTGTGCGTGGATATTTCTCCTGGTCTTTCGATTGTGGATGCAACGGGGTTGTCCTGAAGTTCATGATGACTTTGGATGAGTGAAAGTTAGTTAATTCTGCACTTGTGATCTGAGAACCGTTGTTGCTCACCAGGACATGCCCAGCCAAGCAAACATCACACGCAGTACATTCTTGCACCAACCTTCAGTGCAGGAAGAAGTAAAAGAATATTCTTGATTTTCATTTGTGGATGTGGAAGTATAAACATTCTCTAATAATTTGGGTTGGTCCTTGAAAATAACGTAAATAATGTTTGTAAGAGTAAGCTGGTGGTAACATAGTTTAAGGACATAGTGTAATTTGTGACATGAACAGTGACGTTGATGACGATGGGTGTGGGATTTGCGGTCGACCTTCCGGTAGACTCAAATGCTTGAGGCAGGATTCAGGAAGAGAAGTGTGGAGTGCGTAGGAATCTAGAAGAAGAACCAACTGAAGAAGCAAGATAGCGGAAAAATGATAATGAAGGAAAAAGAAAATGGCGGATGTTAAACTGTCGGTGAGGTTGACGAGGACGTCAATATGGTGGACTTATCATACAGCACAAGTTCAGCTGGGCATGCGGTTAACTACTTTTCAGTCAGTATTAATTAGAGTTGCTTGGAAATGCTACCTAACATGAAGCTATAGTATGATTATGATAAACCAAGCCTTCCCTTCGCAGGAACTGTAGCATACCCTTCGCTGCAGCAACGGGAAGTCGGTACCCAGCAGTATGGAAGGAAAGCTTGGTAGTTCCCAACCCGAAAGCCGGGGTAGCCGCCCGCGAAGTCAGCAAGTTCCTTCCAATAGCGCTAACATGTTGTATGGTTAAAGTCCTGGAGCGTATGGTCAATCGAAGACTGAAGCAATACCTCCTCGAAACGTCTACGACAGCGGTCTGCAGACCAAGATACCGTATGCGTGATAATGTTTGCACCATCGTACAAATAAGGTTCCCGTTTCATCTGTGCATACAATGCCTTGGTTTTCTTTGCATGCACGTAACCTATGATTTACTTACTTTGACAGTTGCACCATGACGAAGTGACAGCGTATTCGTGATTTGTCGCACGCGCAAATATCGCAAAAATACATTTTAATCGCCGTGGGAGTGGACCGTCACCAGGGTTTTAGACCGAGAAATGAAAGGACAACTATCCGCGAAGGTGGCCACAGATCGTCCGAGGTCAGCTCGGGTTCCGAGGGTTATCGCTGCTATCAAAAGGAAGATTCGGGTGAATCCAGTGCGTTCAATAAGGAAAATGGCAAAGGAACACGGGATCAGTGATTTTACGGCACGGAAGATCGTAAAGGAAGCTTGCGGGGTGAAGTCGAGGGCACGGAAAAAAAAACTCACATGATTACCAACCGCATCCGGGAGCTACGAATCGAACGATACAAGAAAATCTTGAACTTCCTTAAGCGAAAAAATTCGGTAATCCTGTTCACCGACGAGAGCATGTTTACTGTCGATCCCGTATCAAATTCCAAAACCGACCGGTATATTAGTTCTCTTCCGGTAAAAGACGTGGCCGACGAGCACAAGAACGTGTATCAGACCAAGCATCCTGCTAGCGTTATGGTGTTTGGATTGGTGGCTTCCGATGGCAAAAAATGGACCCGGTGTTCATTCCAGAAGGCGACAAGGTCAACACGGAGGTCTACATCGGGATTTTAAGTAAGTATGTTCTTCCGTGGATCAAAGAACAGTACGGTCCGAAGCCAAATGTTGTATTTCAACAAGATGGTGCTCCGTGCCACACCTCGAACCGCACTCAGAAGTGGTTGCAGGAACATCTTCCGTTCTGGGTGAAGGATATGTGGCCGCAATCCAACCCCGATCTTAATCCACTGGATTACTCAATATGGCGCGTCATGAAGGCCAAGGCCTGTTCTAAACGCCACCCGAGTACAGCAAGCCTCAGACAAACATTGACCCGTACCTGGAGAGAAATGGATCCAGACTACATTATTATAACCTGCCGTGCATTCCGGTAGCGTGTGGAGGCCGTAATTGCAGCAAGTCAAAACTTGATTGATGATTAACATAGTTTAAGACTCTGAGAAACATCCCGCCTTTGAATAAATAAAAAAAAAAACTCGAAAACAAAATTTTTGAGATTTTTTTAAATTTTGACATTGCTCTATGGTGCAAACATTATCGCGCATACGGTAGTATCGCTCGACATATCGAAGGCCTTCACCAGAACGTGGACGCCCTTCGTCCTTAAGCAACTAATCGACTGGAGTCTTAACGGATCTATCGTTCACTTCATCCAGACCCACAAGGATCGGCTATCGACGTTACCCTGCTCCTCGTGGCGATGAACGGAGTCTTTCGTCAACTACCGAAAAAACATATATGTGGTCGTCTACGCCGACGACATCCTCATCGTCACCACCGGACCCACGCCAGTACGTACAAGGATGAGAGCCCAAGCGGCAGTCTCCGCAATCGCCAGGTGGGCTCGATCAGTAGGCTTCGAATTATCAGCCCCTAAAAGCATCAGGTGCTATGTCTGCCCTTCTCGACACAGAATTAGCGGACCACCGATAAAAACTGACGACCAGTCCATACCGTTGAAGAAGACCGTCCGTGTTCTGGGAGTTCTCGTTGACCGATTGCTCAACTTTGAACAGCATGTCAGTGCAGTCAAGAAATATTGCCGCAGCCGAGTGAATCTCATCCGGACCATTTCCCGGGCCTAATGTATTTTGATTCAAACATATTGTCACAAACCATATTTTTGAATCAACAAAATGGTTTTTAGAATCAACAAACAGATTATTGACTATACAACCGGTTTGTTGATTCAAAAATATTTTTCTTTGAATTAACCCAATAATATATTTGAATCAATACCAAAAATATATTAGGCCAAAAATATATCCATTTGAATTTAAAAATCATTTCTCTGCGTGCAGATTGAATAACCGCAGCATCCGTTTTCACGTTGCGAGTGCAATTATCGACAGTCGCCTTCTATACGGGTTGGAGATGACCTGCATCGCAACGGATATGCTACATTAGCACCAGTCTACAACACCTACGTCCGGACTGTCTCTGGGCTGTTTCCATCCTCGCCCGCTGCCGCTGCTTGCATCGACGCGGGCATCCTGCCTTTCCGCTTCCGTATAACCGCAGCTATCGCGACCAAACCCGCTGCTTTCATCTCTAAGACATCCGGAAATCAAGGGCCAGGGTCCACTGGCATGGAGACAAATGCTGGCAAACACCATTACCGAAAATCGAAAGCCGTATAAAGGACAGGTTCAAAGCCGGAGACAAATCCGTGGCCATGAAAAGGACTGCAGTTGAAATGTTAGGAGAAAAATACCCCAAGCACCCTCACCGATACACGGACGGATCTCGCTCTCGGGCCGGGGTCGGTATCGGTCTAGTCGGAAACATCACACCAACCAGCTGCAGCTTACCGTCGCAATGTTCTGTCTTCTCTACTGAAGCTGCTGCCATCTTTATCGCTGCTACAACGCCCTCGGACCGACCGATCCTGGTCCTCACGGATTCGCACAGCGTCATACAAGCCCTGACATTCGAGACCCCGACTCATTCCTGGGTAAAGGCGACGATGAATTCCTCGCCACCAAACACGGTATTCTACTGGGCTCCGGGGCACTGCGGAATACCGGGCAACTCTGAAACTGACTTTCTGGCTGGAGCAGGACCATCTGTCCCTCGCATATCGCTACACCGTGACGAAGTACCGTTACACGATGTCAAGCGCAAGATCGTGAGCAAAGTATGGGAAGCTTGGGACGCGGAATGGGCCAAATCCGCTCCCTCATCATCAGAAGGACCAAAGAGACGACGAGAAAGTGGACAAAACCAGTGGCGGGATCAGGAGATAGCGTCGCGTTTGAGGACCGGTCACAGCAAGATCTCGCACAATTTCGGTGGAACGCTACACTACACTCAAAAAATAAAACATTTCCAATGGAAAATATCCATTAGAATTTCACATGACTTTGATATCGTAATTGGGAATCGCACCACAAAATCACAAGAACTTTATGTATCCAATAAAATGTATGTGATCTATCACATAGAATTCATGTGATCATATGAATTGTATGTACATTTCAGATAAAAATTATTAATTTTGTTGATGGAAAAATAGTGTACCCTAAAGCCCCACGTTGCCGGAAGCATTTCCAGACGATGGTGTGTTATAATGCAATTCTTCTTTACGCTCCTCTCGTCATGACCAACTTAGTCATCTCAGAGAGAAAGCAGTAGGCTGAACGTGTCTCTTGGATCATCTCTGATCCCTTCAGAGCTTAACGATGCCGTTGAATCGATGAAAACACTCATGAAATGTTCTGCATTACATTTTTCTAAAGAAATGTTGGGTTTTGTATGGCTTAGATGAATCTTAACCGGTAGCCCATCCTCTGTCCTTTTTGTCCTCTTGGGATGTGGGGGTGTGGGGGGGGGATCTTAAACCTCTAAAAAACGTAGTTTTTGAACAGGCCCTTACATTAGAATCGTTATTTGCATTGCATCGCACAAACTGCAGTAGATTGCATAAGGGTCCAACAATATCATACAACTCGTTAACGTTCCGTTATCAAACAATCAGTAGTATGTACAATGACACCCTTCCTTCCTCTTCCAGAGATGGGGATCGTCTAACGATCGAGCTCGGTCGCGTCCTCCGCAAGGGCGAATACAAGATCAACCTGTACTACTTCAACGTAAACGATGTCGTTGACGACGTCGACAAGCTACCGTTCCTATGCAACTGGATCGTCCGCAACGGGCAGCAGGTCGGTCAGATCAAGCGTGACATTCTAGCACATCTGGCCACATCCGATAGCAAATACAGCAACCTTACGTACGAGCGCTGTCGACTAAGGAAGAAGTGCTGGAAGAGCATCTCCAAGGTGTACACCGACGAGCAGAAGATCGGGGAGGAGGTGGCGTTGACCAACACCGCTGATGTAAGTCGAGTCTTCGCGGATGATCTTGATTGGGCACCTATTTATCGAGTATCGAATGCTTTCAGATGATCCTCCAAGAAGTGGAAAACCTCCCCAGTGTGACACCCACTCACTACAACGATGTAGTTCTTCTGATCCGAAGGTGGCTTCCAAAGGAGATGAAGCTAGGAAAAATGCAAGAAATTTTATTCCCCAGTACGTCTGCGTGGTTGTCGACCCATGCTATATCTCACTATAATGCTTCCCATTCTTGCAGATAAGTGCGAACTGAAAAACCTGCTTTCAAAAATTAGCGAAATTCCCGAGGAAAACATCGAGTTCGCCAAGCTGCAGCTACGCGACTCGGTGTCGGTTCTACAAATTCACACCGCTCTTCAGTGGACGTCGACGCCAACCCGGTCCGACGACTACAGCAGCAGTACCAGTTTCCAGGACGGTAACGTACTATACTACAGGTAGGTTTCTTTACCTTCATGATATGTGTACACAAGAATCGTGTATCACCAATTTCCAATTCTTTCCCTCGACAGAGACAATACCGAACCACTGGCGGAGTTGACGGCCGAGGAGCGCAAGGAGCTCACCAAGAAGGACATCCGCAGCAGTTCGACCTACTCGCCGCGCAAGGAACGTGCCCTCAAGATCTACGTGGATGCCTCGCCGAAGAAGGCCGACGACTGATTGCAGCTGGCCGAGTGCAGCACCGGTACCAAGCGAAGAAAATGTTGCATCTGATCGATAGGGAGAAGCCGAAGTCTGAGCCAGTAAAAAGTGCACTCGTAGTAGCGCCGCATATGTAGGTTCGCAACAATGAGCAGCCAGCCAGCAGCATAAACTAGCTTTTGTAGAAGTGTAGAAGGGCCTAGAATGCGCGCGCACGCTGCACCACCAGCAAGTTGAGTTTGTGTAAAAAGAGAGAAACTATTATTCAAGTACTGTGTATAGATCCATTTCGATGTGGAGTTGAGCTAGGGAGAGGAAATTCAGAAATGTCCCATCCAATACCGTTAGAAGAGCTAGCAGCAGTTTTTTTTTAATTATTTTGTACTTGATTACTTATTGTTATCTTTGTTTAAGAAAAAAAAAGCGATCGCTTTTCATTGATAGTTGATTCAAACTCTTTATCGCCAAATCTATGGTCGTCGTTTTTTTCGATATTTCCTCCATTTCCGAAATTTCTATAGTCTTAATCTTCCAAAATTTCAAACTTCGAACGACGACCACAGAGTAGACCCCTATTTGTTTATGAATACGCTCATTAGGTCTATTTATATCCATAGTATTGCCTCCGTTGATGAAACTTTCGAAGTACATTTCACCACCAGTTCATATCATAGTCAAGAAAACACTGCAGAAGTGGAAGGAAGTCGCCGCGATATCATCATAGTAAGCATAACTTTTGTGTTTTTCGCATCTTTTTTTTTAAACCAATCCGAAGGAAGGTTTAGTTATCAGCCAAAGGTTTGTACAGACGGACTGAAATTTTAATGGTATTCAATTCATGGAGTCTTCTTCTTCTTTTCTCTATTTTGGTGTTGGCACAGCAAAAACCGATATATCGCCAGCTTATTTTCTTTCCAGTCTCGACAAATTTTCTTCTTCGGAGTTGTCAGTTCTGACAGGCGCCACACGCAACTGTGACTTTTTACTCACCTCGGTGATGTTATTACACCTTACTTACATTTTCTTGTTGATTTCTTTGAGGAACCGTGTGACGTTTCTTAGAATGTTTAAATCTTTCGTTGCATTTAAAGTGCGAACCTCACTGTTTTCCAAAGCCAGTCCATGGCTTTTCAGGGATTGTATTTTAGAGTGCGAAGTATTTTCGTCCTTTTCCTAACATCGCCGTGTAGTGGTGTGTGATTTTTGAGATCGGATCGGAACAGACTGCTGGAAGTAATTAATTGGGTCGTGGGTGAAAATTTTGTTTTTAGCTGCTGTGTCCTGCCTAATTGCTGCTTTCGTCAGTTGATCCGCTACCTCGTTGCCTGCAATCTTCGCATGTCTAGGGATCCATTGGATGCTGGTTCGCGATGTGGACGCCATACGAAGTATATCCTGACGAGCTAATTTTTCATTCTTTATAAATTATCAACCGGACTTAGAATCATACATTATAACTGTATTCTGTAGCTGATTGCGTGTAATGTATTGAAGAGCATGATTTTGTAGCTTCAATGATAGTCGGAAATGTCCTCTTTCATGGAATACACCTATGCCGCATGTATCAGGGTACTTGGAAGCATCAGTGTAAATGATTTGCGTCCAGCGTACTTCCCGTGAATCAATCCTAGTGTGAGCTGTCTGAGGACAACTTCTGATGTGACTTTAGCTACGTAGTTCCTTGCATCTGTGCTTCACACTGAACACGATAAAAATAGAAAATTGGTCTGTGTTCTTCTAACATTTTTTCTATGAATGTGAAGTTATTGCAGCCTTCCGTATATCTCTGTAGAGAATGTTCTAGTTGATTCCAAAGCACATATCCATTGTGGCATTGTTTAACTCAATCCTTTCCAATGATGTACAGTCTCCTAAACTCCTTCCTGTGCAGCTATTCAACGGTATGCTCTTCGGGCAGCCTGTAATTTTTTGAACGCATTGGTTGTTAACGACTCTTGCTGGCAACGCCGTATATTGCAGAACCATATTCTACGAAGTTTCTCACAATTCCATTGAAACAAGCCCCAGAGGACTCGAGTGTCCTCTTCCGCGAGCACCACTGATCACTTTGATCATGTTGAGTCCGTCTGTAGTGCGTCGTTTCAGGTCGCGAATGTGAGTTCGAAATCGAAGTGATTTGTCAAAGGTAATACCCAAATATTTAAAGGGTTTTCAATTAAGCGTTTCCTATCTTTAAAGTTGAATAAAACAAACTGTGTGTGAGATATTGAAGAGATTTATTTTTCGATTGAAAAACCTATCAAAAGCATTATGTGTCTGCCTCGGCTTCGCTTGGTTTCGTGCATCGGAGAGGTCCAATTTTCCATGACTCTGGCGCACAAATCGGGCTGAATCTCGTTGATGGCTTGAGTAATGTTGGCTTTGAGGGCATCGGTGGTTTGCGGCTTATTGACATAGACCTGCGACTTAACATAACTCCACAAGAAAAAGTCTAGTGGGGTTAAACCACATGACCATGGTGGCCAGTTGACATCGCATCCTCGCGAAATAACCATGCTCGGAAATCGCTCATGCAGAATATCGATTGTTTCGTGCGCTGTGTGGCACGTTGCATCGTCCACTTTAGGCCAGAAGAAGTCGGTAATCATCGACCTGTAGCGCTCTCCGTTGACGGTGATTGTCTCGCCAGCGTCGTTTTCGAAGAAGTACGGACCGATTACGCCAAAATGCACACCAAACAGTGACTTTCTGGGGATGCATTGGCACTTGGTGGACCTCGTGTGGATTGGCCTTGTCCCAAATTCGACAATTCTGCTTGTTCACATAAATGGGTCTCGTCGCTGAAGAAGATTTTTCAGGCAAAATCGGAGTCTGTTTCCAACTGCTCCAAAACCCAATCAGCGAACGCACGAATTCAACGGAGAAGTTGCTGCCACCGTTCAGCATATATGCTGCCTTTTTTCCGACAAGCTTGCCAGTGTATTCACTAATGAGATACTAAGTGATGACCATATTACCCTGGCTGCCAGGAACGTTCCAGTACATGATAAAACGCTGGGTGCAATTGATGTTAATGCTGGGATGATTTCTAAGGCCGCGACTCTGCTCAAGTTATCCTTCAATCCTGGGCCTGAAGCAGTTCCATCTGTATTTTTAAGATACATATTGCTAGCTTGTTAATTCAGCTTCTTCGCCTGTTTCGAATGTCTCTCTCCAGTGGCATATTTCCATCTTGCTGGAAATTTGCGCACATGTTTCCCGTCCACAAAAAAGGAAGGAAACGAGTTTTGGATAACTATCGAGGAATTAAATCGTTAAGTGCCGCTCGAATAGCTTCGAAGTGATTATGGAACCGTTGCTGTCTAATTGCAAGCAGTATTTGAGTGCCGTTTCGAAGCTATTCGAGCTAGTCATTATGGAACCGTTGCTGTCCAATTGCAAGCAGTATTTGAGTGCTGATCAACATGGGTTTACTGTCGGCCGCTCTACAACCACCAATCTGCTGTGTCTCACATCGTATATAACCGAAAACATGTCGGGTCGAGTTCAAACGGACGTTATTTATTCAGACCTATCCGCAGCATTCGACAAGTTGAATCATGCTATTGCGATTCCTAAGCTCGGCAGCTCGGCGGTGTATGCGGTAATCTTCTGAGTTGGTTTCGATCATATCTTACCGGTTGCCATAGGAGATTGCAGATCAGCTAGCTTCTTCGGCACATCAGGTATACCTCAGGGAAGCCACATGAGACCGTTGATTTTTATACGCGTATCTGGTCATCGAAGCTCCTCGGTTATCATATGCAGATGACCTCAAAATCTTCCTACGAATCTGCTCCATTGTTGACTGTCAGTTTCTTCAACGTCAGCTGAATGTATTCGCTAGTTGGTGCAGTTTAAACAGAATGGTAGTGAACCCAGCCAAATGCTCCGCTATTACTTTCTCACGAAAACAACAACCGATATTATTTAGCTATGACCTGCTTGGCTCGACAATCGAACGCGTGAATCAGGTGAAAGACTTGGGTGTGATCTTGCAGTCACAGCTTTCATTCAAGCAACACATTGCATATGTTGTCGATAAGGCGTCAAGAACTTTAGGGTTCATTTTTAGGATGGCTAAAAACTTCACTGATATCTACTGTCTAATATCTCGACGCTTGAGTAATGTTCAGCGGCTTGGAACCCAAACTACAATAACGGTACCGAGAAAATTGAATCTGTTCAAAGTCACTTTCTTCGTTTTGCGTTGCGTAGATTGCCTTAGAATGATCCGTTTCGATTACCCAGTTACGAAAGCCGTTGTCAACTTATCGACCTAGAACTTCTCCCGACTAGAAGAGACACAAGCAGAGCCCTAACCATGGCTAATATCCTGTAAGGATGGACAGATTGCGAGGCTATCCTGAGGCAAATTGACCGCTTCGTGATAACCTTATGCTAAGACTGCCTCTACGTCGCACAAATTATGGAGCATAGGGAATTTGGTTGATAGCTGGTTTATTAACTCGGTTAAGGTATGTGATCTAAAACTGTTTCCCAAACTAACCTATAGAGCCGACTTGCGAGGTTGAGTTGATGTCCTTGGCTATGATTGATATTTAGAAATATATGAGCGACCAGACTCAGTTTGTCAAACATTCTCTGAACTTCCTTAAGAACTTGTTCTTGACTCTCAATGAGTGCATTCGGTGCATTGCCGCTGTTGTCCACTTGGTCTTTGAAGATTCTCATTCCACCCAGAACCGTCTTGTTGAATGAGTCCTGTTCTTCAAGCCGAGATGTGAGGGAATCAGGGACTCCTTTAACAGTATTCAGGTAATTTTTAACAGACCCTAGCTCTTTTTGGGAGGCGACCCCTCCAAAAGCGGTGTGTAAATCCAATCTGTTCGAAATTGGAAGGGAGCTCGTTTGTCTCTGCCCTGGATTGTACTGAGAGCGTTGAAATCCTACCTGCGGGTATGACAAGGCCACAAATTCAGGTTTAATCTCATTCAATTCAGCGCTGATCTTCCAAGTGGCTAACTCTTGGGTCATCTACTGTTTCAGATGGATCGAGATAACATAATTTCATGAAATCATATCGTCTCTCATTTTTGAGACTACCTGTTTGGATCTCATCAATTAACTCCACTTGAGAGCTAGTATTGGAGGAGTACATCGGTTTCAAGTCATTGAATTCGTAAGGGGTTGTTTACTATCACCACTATCACCTTCCTTTACAATAGCGACGGCGATCGCATTATTGACTGATGATGTGAACTGCTGTATTGCACAACCTGATTTTGAGGTTTCAGCAAATTGATTTCTCCGTTCAACTACATCGACATCCCTTTCAAGTCTGGGAGAATCATTAGGGAATGGTGACTGTGGTCTTACGTTAGTTTTTGATTGAGCTGAATCAGTGGACGGCAACAATCCAGAGACAGTCAGTGAAACTATTTTAGCTTCATCATCAGATTGTGAAAGCATTTAAGTTGACTGGTTGTCTTGTCAACATCCTTGTACACACCATGTTTGATGAAGGGGGTAATATGAAGTTTGGAGTGACAATCTTTCTTCCAAGTATAGCACTAATGTTATGGTTGAGACGCATTCTCATATTCGAGGCTCTATAACCTTCGAATAGCCTGGTCCCATAACCTGTAAATGGGCGAGATGCTGTTGAGAAGGAGTTTTTTGAAAATTGATCCTCTTGCCATACTTTAGTTATTCTAGTCCAGAAATCTGCGATTTAGGATGTTGTGCTAATATCCAAGTCTTTCTGGTCAGCTTTATACAACCAGTCGTACATTCCTAATAATATTGATTGAGCTTGGTCTTCCATTCGAACAATAGAATGCAATACCTTAGCTCCAATCAATTTATTCAGACATGGCATGTTCTGTTGTACAACATGAGTCCAGGATGATCTAGGGGAACAAATTGGAGCTGTTGGGATCATGATAGGTGAAGGACTTTCAGTTCCTTTGATTTCAGTGATTTTCCATATTTCTAAGAATAGGATTATACCTTTAAGTACGAACATATTATTTTGTTACTTTAAGTACATAGTGCCGAGTAAACGAGATTACTGTTAGGTAAGTTTTGGTGCTAAAGATTTATTTTCTATTAGTACTCCCTGGGTCACTTGTTTTGTTACCGTTTTGTTACTTGGCATACCTACACAAATGGTTCTTGTTCATATTGTACCCAGCCTATGTCTGTCTGTCTGTCTATCTTTCGGTTGATTATCATTTACCTAATACAACTGTCCTGTCGTCATTGACGTTTCTATATAAATTGCAAAAATTATTGAAGCAAATGTGAGAATAAAAATTACTTATTGCTCTGAACTGAATTATTTTTATATGTTAATATTTTTTTAGATATCACTAGTCCTACTGAAAACCTCTATAAAATCGACTGCTTATTTATTACCATGATCTGATATGTGCTTGTATCGACTTGCAAGAAGATGACCATCCCAACAAAAACAATCGCCTATTGAAGAAACGATTTCTTGACGATTTTATTCAATTGCATGCTTAAGGGGTTACGCCACCCTAGAATACAGAAAAATGCACCAACTTCATTATTTTTTTTTTGTTATTTAATAAAGTCACATACTAAATTAACTTATATGGGCTTATAATACACATACTTAGGGGTGCTTACAGTATTTTTTCATAAGGGGAAACCATGTGTGGCAGTTGGCAGCACTGCGAGTTCCTGGCACTGCTTCCCGTGTAGTGTTACGCGGCCCACACTTTCTTTGTCATAAATATGAACCTAGAACAAAAACGAGTGGTTTTTCTTATTTTATATAAGAATACCTAGAGAAGTACATGCGGAGATGAAAAAAATTTGAATTTTACGCAAAGTCCCATCCATCAGTTTTTTTCGCCTGAAATTTGTTTCTAAAATTGTTTACCACAATTGCATTTTTTGATCAATTGAAAAGTTCGTATGTACTTCTCTAGATAATTAATCAGAGAATGCAATCGTCAAAGTCTAGATCAAATTGAGTCAAAATTGCAGATGCCATCGTGTGGGCCACGGAGAGAAATGTTGTATCGAAAAAAAAACGCGGTTGAAGTTTGAGGTACAGATTCAGGTGCGTGATGCAAAGTTTTGTAATTTCGCTTATAACTTTCGGAATTTTAATTTGTTCGACATGGAACCAATTGTCCCTTATTCTTGACACATCAGAGTACATTTTTATGTAAAAAAAAAATCGATTTTTTGAAAATCCTAGGGTGGCGTAACCCTTTAATAATACTTTTTAAATATAATACAATTTTTAAATATAA